ACGAAGCGCCTGCTCCTGCCCGGGAATACTTCTTTGTTTTGGTTTTGGGGTGGTTTTTTGGGGGGGTGAGGGGGGAGCTTTTCGTTTTAGTTACAAACGCGGGGTGTTAGGGAAACGCCGGTGGTGTGCCCCGGTGTGTGACTCCACGGAGCCCAAATCCTACCGTTTCCCCTCGGCTCCTGGGTCTTCCTCGGGGTTCACACGACATGAAGCCTTTGATCAGGTCGCCACATCTGTGAAACTGACGGGATTAGGCGTTTCGGTTGGGATCCTAAGCGAAATTTGCTGGGAGTATGCGTGTCAGTCACAGTTAGTGTTTGCTGAGCGTGTTACTAAAATATTTGAGTGCGTCTTCTCAGTAAGATCAGACCATAAAAGTGTGAGGGAATATCAAGGGTCTGTCTTAATTCGGAACCACAGCACCTGGTTTTAGGGTGTCGGCCTCAGCGCTGGCCCCGGGTTCAGGGGTTAAGGTTTGTCCCGAGGAAGGAGATCCTTGTCTGTAAGATCCTTGATGGTCTGAGGACCCTGATTGCTTCTCATGGAGTCTTTCTGAAGACTCTCCTTTCTGTGCAGTGCTTGTGCTGGAGTTACTTTTGCAAGGAGAGAACTTCTTACCACATCTTTCTCCCCCCGGGGGAAGATTGGGTCCATAAAAAAGTGGCAAACCCACCTGAGGACATGTTTTTGGTTCAGCCTGCGGCACCGGAGTTATTTCGGACGGAAAGGTGTCTTTTGAGTTTGCTTGTCCCCCGTTGGCTATTTCCGTAGCTCTGAAATGACTTGAGGATGACCTTCAGAGAAAGAAGTCAGCTTTGCTCAGAGGATTTCGAACCTCTTTCATTTGCTCTTCTTAAGGTTCTCCTAAAACAAACAAGCGGAGCACTTGGAAGGAAACCTATGATTGAATACTCAGCACTCCCTTTCCCTTGGGTAAAAGTTGATAGACGTCCCCCCTTGTTTGGGAAAGGCTTCTAGCCGAGCATGAAAGATGGGATTTGACACAGCTAAAGTAAAACATCAGGTAAGGCAAAGGAGGGCAGTCCTTTTTTATACATCAGCCCTTATGTGGGGAAAGGGGGGTTAAAAAAATAGGCAAAGTCTATTTTTCTGTAGTCTATAGTCTCAGGTTTTTTTCTGTGACACTTCTATTTTGGTGGGTTAATGGGTGTATCAGTTTTTGTGAAAACTCGAAGATTTCTGCATTTTGAAAAAATACTAGCAATTTCACCAGATATTTTTGGGCGGTGCGTACCCGAGACACCACTGCACTCACCAGGAGATTAACAGCACTTGGCCTCACGCCTCTGGTCTTGTGCCTAATAATACATCGGGGGAGCACTGCATTAACTGTCGATAAATGTCCGTCATCTCTTCGGGCTTAATTATGGAATGCTTTTAAAACGACGCACGAAGGAAAGTTTCAGCTCAGCTTTTAAATGTGATACAGCCCTGTGTATGACTAACTCCTCTTGTGCCCCTGTTAATGAAGCCCTGCTGTGTTTACGTGGCTTCAGTTTTGAAGCCCTAAAATGTATAAGTTCGTGGGTTTTGGTTTTTTTTTTTTCCTCTCCCTTTAGAGCAGCTCCGCGTTGATAAAACAGATGAGAGGAGAGTTGTGTTTCTTTGCTGAACAGGATGCTTAGGCAGGATTGCGATGGGTTTCGGATGCTTCTAGTCTTTCCCTTTTCTTTGTCGTCGTTGTGTTTGATTCTGGGAGAAATCCTTTTAAATGCCTGACTTCAATTTAGGGACAGTCTAAGAAATTGCTCCCAGGTAATCAGATTGTGTCTTGCACTGAACCCAGGACTGTCTGCAGTCAGACAGGGTCAGTAATCAAGCTGATGTTGGATGGATTTATTTATTTTTTTACCCTGTGGAAGCCCTCGTACTTCTGTAGCACAAAACCTGTCCAAATTGGAGAAGCTGGAGCCAGAAAAGCCGGTGGGAGCTGACAGTGCTGTAGCTAACCCATGCTAACATCGGGCACGGGTACTGTTGGTAGAGGGTAAGAGTACGCAGATGGTGAATCGTTCCAGAGTATTGTCTTCTGAATGCTCAGCATAGCTTTTAGCTTGTGAACTTGCATGTGGACAGCTGTTTGATTGCTTGTTTTGAGCAATTGGGGAAAAGACCGAACCGGACGTGATCACTGTGTCCTCAGACTGTTTGCAAGGCAGAAAGAGAGGCAGCATTTTAAGACTGAAGAGATGATAAAAATAAATGTTCGATTTGAATGGTATTTGAGGAAGAAACAGACAACCGGAGGTAGTGAAAACTCTTAAACGTTTTCTAAAGGTCTAAGTGATTGAGGAACCTTTCTCCTATTTTAAAAATTATATAGGTAGTCAAGGACCAGAGTGCTAAATTTGTGATACAGATGGGTGTCAGCAGGGGCTTTGAAATCTTTGTCAGATCTATGTAAGTGATAAGGATTGGGACTGTTTATTTTTAAATTTTTTTTAGCTCTACTGAAAAAACGAAGAAGCCCGATCAGTTCTGGCCAGGTACTTCTTTAAATATTCAGTGTGCCTTTAAATATTCAGTTGCTTATTTGCTTCTTTAGGACATCAGTTTTGAGTTATGTGACTTGCAGGTTTCCCTTCTCAGATTAATGTCTCCATCAGGTTGATTACGACGCCTTTTGAAATCGATGGACCTTAATGCTTTCTTTGTGTCAGTCAGGCATTTTAAAGTATTTATTAATTAAACCTGACAGTTCCACGTTACTTTGTGCTTCTTTCCTGGTGCGTTTTATTCTGTGTCTCAGCTGAACCCATGTCCCGTTTCAGGAGGCAGTTTAGCTATAGCGGAAGTCAGACTCTGTGGCTTCTTATTCCTCTTGTGTTCTTCTTGTCTTGCCTCCTGTCATGTTCCTCTGTTCTTCTTGTCTTGCCTGCAGAAGACCTTTGCCTTCCTCCTTGCTCCAGCAGAACGGGCGGATGCTCTCCGTGTTACTCAAGAAGGGAGAGGGACCAGAGTCTCTCTGCTTTCTTAATATTGTGCTTCTGCCCTTACCAACTCAAAAACCAACTGTGATGTCTTACTAAAAGCTGATGTGCTTTAGGATGAGTGCTTTACATTTTAAAACTTTTAGTGCTTCCACTAATCCTTGGGTGCGTGTATTCCACTGACGAGCAATTTCTGGAGCATTATTCTTCTTATTAAATATTTAAAATCTCTTTATGTTTTTTTTCACCCTGGAGAAAGATGAGAAGTATAGAGTCTCCAAGCTTCTTAATGTGAACTGACGTCTCTGATAGTCATTTAGGTTATACCAACAAATTTGCTGTTTCACAACCATTTGGTGATAAAATCTTAAACTTTAAAGCAAATCAGAGGTTTGTGCTATTTTTTTCGAAGACAGAAAACTAAAAGAACAGTTTAAATTGCTGTAATTGAATCAAGTAAGTTTTATGTGTTCCTAGTCCTGAGGAGAAAAAGTCCCAAATGTTCTCTCTCTTGTTGTCTTTCAGGATTCTAAATAACTACATTAAAAATAAGGATAATTAATACTGTTTACTGTGCTGTCAGCTATGGGTGAAAATAAACATAAAGCCACCATGTTTACAGGGTTTCTACATAAAAAATTGTTCCCCGTGCTCTAGGCTACTTGGTTAAGTAGTGTCTTTCATTTCCTGAGCCCTCTTAGTAGCATTCGTGAAGTTTGTTGAAAACAAGGGATCCAACTAAAGCTGTTAAATGAGAGTTCTGCACAACTGGCAGGAGGTGAATCGATATTAGACAAACAGGAAAGAACATGAGCATTTAAAAGGAAAAATGTTGTTCTCTAGATTCTAGGAATATGGAAGCAACCCAGACGAAACAAAAAAATAAAGCATTAAAAATGCATCTTTTCAGTGTTCTTTCAAAAGGTGAAGAATTACACATGCTGGTGATTTTTCTTATCTTTTCTTTCAGAGCTTTGTGTTTCTTGAAGAAACAAATCAGTGCTTAGACTGAGATGGTACGCACAAGAAACACTTTGTAAATACTAATGGTGTGGGGGTTTTTTTGACAATTGAGTTACAGCCATTTGTCTCAGCCTTCTATAAATGGCTGAATTCATCAGACTATATATTCTGCTGGGCAGGAAATAATAGGTAAGATCTGGCATTGTCCTGTGTGCACGTTGTGCCAGGATGCCCACTGCTCACCCATCAGTGAATGGGAGCTCGATGGGAACAGCTATGGGTGTGCTGGTGATACCCTTCTCTGAACTCCATCACTCCCCAGGTGGAAAGGGGTGCTGACACATAATAGAATCATTACACTATTTAGGTTGGAAAAGACCTTTAAGATCGTCGAGTCCATTGCCAAGTCCACCACTATGTTGGCTTCACTTGCTCCGCCTGGGATTTGAGCATGGTCCCCTGGGAACTTCGGAGAGGAATGATAAAAGTGTTTATTTTCTGAGGAGAGCCATTCTGACTGTGTGTATTTCTTGCCATCCTGAGATTTTTTTTTTTTTTAATTTTTTTTAATGTTTCTAGTCAGACACATTATTGGAATGAGCTGAAAATGAGGTTTCTCAGATGTACTGTAAAGCTGGCGTTGTGTGTTGGCTGTGAAACAAATTCCTCACGTGTCATCATTTAATGCATATTTACCCCGCTCTCTGAATTACAAGACATCTGTAATTTTAAAATGTTTAAGGGGAGACTGGACAGATGAAGGAAAAAGGAGGAGAAGTAAAGCAGTCAGATTTAGGATCCTGCAGGGATTTGGCACAGCTGTGAGAATAGATTTTTGTGCCAAGCCTTGTACCCCTGAAAAAACATACCTTACTTCTTTGGATATCGGGAGAATTTTTTACACTGAAAGGATTATCAGGCATTGGAATGAGCTGCCCAGGGAAGGGGTTGAGACACCATCCCTGGAGATATTTAAAAGATGGGTTGACATAGCACTTAGTGACATGGATAGTGATGTTTTTTATCAGAGTTAGGTTGACGGTTGGACTAGATGATCTTGAAGATCCCTTCCAACCCAGACAATTCTGTGATTCTTCAAGTCTAGTTCATTTCTGAGACTTTGGGATTTTACCTATCCAGTGTATAGGATGGTTCTGGATCCTGAATGGGCAGCTCGTTTCCCCTCTCTGTTTAATTTCTCCAGACGGAACCAGACCTAAGCTGTTGCTTTTAACTCTTTGTCACATCAAACCTGTTTTGAGTCAAGTTAAATACTGCTTGGTGACTCAGAGTGAAATCAGGTGTCTCTTAGGGCAGATCTGCTTACTAGGTGACTTAGAAGATGTGAAAATTAGCATCATCTCGAGGTTTCATCCTTTTGCTGCCTCCTCCCCCTCGGTCCCTCCCTTGCCACGGGGCTCAGCAGCACAGGGATTATGAGCCCTGGCTTCTGTGCCTTATACCACTGCTGGTTCAGGTGGGTTTGGGATTACTGGGCTGTTACTGGCCTAAACTGGAATGACTTCATTCACAGCTGAACTCAAAATCTGGTTACAGCTGAAGCAACATTGAATTGGGTGAGCAGCAATGTTAAGAACACCATATTCAGCATCAACAACAAGAAGAATGTGCTGGTTTAACCTCACAAGTGGTATAGATTAATGAAGGAAATGATATGTGATTGCCATTAATGGGTTGAAGTCATGTTGCCTGCATGGGTGGGGTGAAGCGATGTCAGCCAGGAGCCCTAACCCACTGTCTCAAGTTGGTTATCACACTAATGGATGGAATTTTCAGCATGTAGGAAAAATGTTCTGGGTTTTTTGGTGTTTGTTTTTGTTTTATTTTATTTTATTTTTATTTTTAAAAAGAGGAACATCCTGCTTTGGAAATGAGGTGGAAGCAATTGCTAGAGCAACTGCATTGTCGACAGTGTGAATTATTGAAGGGTCAAAACAATAGGGTAAGGGATAGACTGAGTTTGAGGGAAGATGAGGGGGGTTTTGAACTTCTCAGAGTGAAATGCAAGAATCCTAGGTACTCTCTGCTGTACAGGTTGGGATGGACAGGGGGAGAAACAGTTGTTTTCCTTCAGATTATCAGTGAGTTT